CGCCGGTCCTCAGCCTGGAGGGAGGTGGTGGGCGGGAGGGACGAGGCGTCCCCTCGCCGGGAGGCGGTCGCCGGCGTGCTCGGGGCGGTGTGAGCTCCGCTGCCCGCTGCCCGCGAACGAGCCGCCGCTAGCGAAAGAGGTGACCCGACCTCTCGTGCGCCTGCACAATGCTGTGATGTGTGCTGGGAGACACCGGGATCCCCGCCTGGTGTCTGGGGTTTCCTGACCTCTTCTGCGCTTTATCTCCGCCTGGGGTTCAGTTGTATCGGGAGAGCTGGGAGGAAGGGAGAAGGGCAGCTCGAAGGGACGAAGAAGGGCAACCCGGTGTAGAGCATCTGGTGCCGTGACCCACCTGTAAGTTTCGGTTTATTTTCGTATGACCTGGCTGTCAGAGAAGCAGGTTAATAAGCAGTCCTGTTTGGCAGGTCTGCGTCTTTATCCAGCTGAGGTGATACTGAGTGTTTAGTTCAGTGCAAGATTTAAGGACAAAAAGCAAATGACAGTATTTCCTGTCTGCATCGAACTTCATGCACTGGTTTAATGTATTTCTGTGCTGAAGCTAGCATAAAGAGATGCTATGCTTCTAATTATTATTTTTTAATATGTATTTTTATTGCAGCTTGATCAAAGGCTTCCTTGTCCCTCCAAAGAAATCCATTAGGCTTGATCTAAGAAACATCCATATCTCCTTTTAAGCATTTGGGTGGGAGTGCTTGCTTACAGCTTGTTAACAAAGCCATTATACTGCAAATGGCATTGTGCTATTCCAGAACACTGTTCCATCCATGCTTGGATGTAATAATGATAATCATGATAAAGCATGTTGCTAGTGCACAGTTTGATTTAGGCCAGCAATTCAGTTTGCACCATTTAACGAGATGCAGAGGTAGGCACTGAGTTAGTCCTTGCGTGTTGTCTGGTCCTGTTCTTCCATCATCCCTCTGCACACCCACCTCTGTGTCTTTTTATTAAGATTTATATTATCACAGTATCTATTATGCCTACTGAATAAGACTGTGGATGAGCGCATAGAGCAGAAATACGCACACTGAGCATGCCTGGCATGTAATAGTTTGCATCTGATCTGGAAAGCAGTAGAAGTCCAGTTAAGCTATATGTATTGGACGTGACTATCAGGACTGGCAAAGAAAATGTACTTCCCTGCTGTTTCTCAATGAGTGAAATTTGCTGTCTGGCCTCAAACCACACCTGTTTCATTCATCCCCAGTGTATCTGTTGAATGATGGAGCAGTTTTGGTTTCCAGATCATGGTGTAATGCTTTCACATTTCATTCTTCATGAAAACATGATTTCTACTGCCTAGACAGGGAGAGGGTCTTCTTCAGGGCTTTGCAACTCAAAGTGCATAAAGCTCTTTAAAGAGCTCTCTTTTTAGGTGACTTATACCTAAATTTGATACACTGTGGTCCTATAATGGTGGAGGGGTGGAGGTGTGCAGTGCATCCCACAACACAAGTTGAGACACTCATTACCTTACCAGGCTGCAGCCTTAAAATGAGCTTCAGGAGGTCATTTGTCTCCATGTGAGTAGTTCAGCACTGGGACTCACTGGTGTGGGATTCGGTGGAGGCCAGAGGCATTAATGGTTTCCCAAAGATTGGACACATTCATGTGAGACAGTTCTTTAAAAGGCAGGATGCAACCTTCATCTTGGGCAGGTTTAAAGCCAGTGTTTATGGGAAGCTGGAAAGGTTGTGGGTGAGGATCATTCTACATACTCTGTGCTGTTATACTGCTTGTGAATCACCTATTATCAGTCACCTTTTTCTTTGAAGAGAGAACAATGAACTAGATAAGCCATTGATCTATCTAATGCAGCTGTTACAATTTTTATGATCATTTGACATTGAGCATTGAATAGCAATACTTTTCAGGAGTGAATTTGTTGTACACGAGCATCGTTCCAACAGAGGAAACACGAAACAGTATTTCACATCCGCATACTTGTAACAAAGAAAAGCAGCCAAAGCCTTTAGTATTTCTTGGGTCAACCCCATCATTGACTTTGAGACGTAATAGATGCTGTTTGGATATAAATTGCTCAGCTTCAGGTTGTGAATTATACAATACTGGGGAAAAAAGCAGAAAAGAAATTGCTTCTTAGAAGTGAAATTGATTCTTTTCCCCTGTGCTGTCCTACAGTATTTTTGCAATTGTTACAGTAAATGGTGGGTTTCAGTACTACAGCCAGGTTGGCGTTGTCTGTACAAAAAGTAGATCCTTCAGTATGAGAAAAAATAGATTCCAAATGAAGATGTAATGCAAACAGAATGAAAATGTTGGCAGAAAAATGACCTACTAAGTTCTAGCATTCTCATCCTTGCTGGCATTCTGCTTTTCATTTGCTTGCTATTTCAGGCTTTTGATAACTGAATTAAAATTGCCATTACTTAGAAAGGTCATTGCTTGTTCCTAATGTGGTGGTGTGTATATCTTCTGAAAAATGTCAGCTCCCATTTACATTGCATTGAAATGTTATATATAAAGGTGTGATAGCCATGGCTTTCATAGAATCCCAGACTGGTTTGGGCTGGAAGGGACCTTAAAGCTCATCCAGTTCCAACCCCCTGCCATGGACAGGGACACCTTCCACTATTTCTTTTCACTTAGTAAGAAAAATGATGTGGGACTGATGAAGACGTTTTGTCTTTGTGTTACTGACATTCCTAAAAGGGGGTTCTTAAACAGATGGAACAGCCTTACCTTTTTAGTTAAACGAACAAACTTTAAGAATGCAGACGGCTGATATAAGGCATATATGGTATATAGAAACAAGTAATGCTGAATGAAAAATTATATCCCAGTTTCTTCAAATGGTTATTCGAGCTTTTCCTTATCTCCACGTGAGAGAGTGAGATACGCAAGGCAGGAGGGAGGCAAGAGAGGGAACTGCAGCCTACCCACTCTTTGATGAGGCTGTGGTTTTATTAAGCTACTGGTGATAGGATAGAGAACACAAAGTATGAGGACATTTGCAGGCAGTTATAGAAGGGTGCCCATTAACCTGCAAAGCAATAATCAGACTGAGTTTATATTAGTTTAACACAGTTTTAACAAAAGCACAACATAACTAAGTGCATTGGAGCTTGGCCAAGATACATTACATTTGACTAGAGGCTGTCTTGTTTGATTAGTTAGTTAGTTTCTGGCCTGAAAAGCATTTGCTGAGTTATGCTGCAGCCAGCTTCCGTAAGACAGAGAAGCACATTTAGGCAAGCTGTATGAATGAAACTGCAGATTTCTTTTGCATAGTAATGCTCTTTCTATGTATGTGTTTTACATCCTCTCTAAGGGTTATAAGAGATGCTGTGAAGATTATTTATTGTGAGCATAAATTAGAATAGGCTTATAAATCCAGCTGAAATACAGCATCCCAGTTAATTCTGGTGGTGTTTTGGGTGTGATAACAGCTGTTATGTTTTCATAGCGATATCTATGATGATAAAATTACTCAGTTATTTTGCCAGTCATTGACAGTCGTGGCTTGGAGGTTTGTTACGATATTTCATCTATATCATTTTTTTTCTCCCCTATCATCACTTTCCTGTCACTCTGTTTAGAACCTGCCTGCAGACAAAAAGTAGGTGAAACATTTAATTCTTTGCTGTGAATGAGACGCCTGCTGCTGGCTCTCCTGCAGCCCTCAACCCGTGATCCCATTGCTTTTGCTTTATGTGAGAAGGGTAGAGGATGGGGAAGGAGCAAAAAGTGTTCTTGAAGCTGACTGTCAGATACTTCGCGGTTTTGCTTTGAGAACTGCTGATTTCTGCAGCTTCAGTTACAGCAGCGTGTGCTGAGCGCTTTGCTTCTCAATTGAAAGGCTTCCATTAGCCCTCAGGAGGGTTTGCAGTCACGGTATGGGGTACAGCCTGACTGAGCAATGTTAGTGTGCTGTTGTGTCAGCTCAGCCTGTCACTGAGGTGAATGGCCTGCCTTTTCAGCTCTCTCTGCATTTGGGATTCCTGCTTTAAACACCAGGCTGATCTTTTTGCCTCTGGCAGCCACAGAGAGTGATTGGTTGTCCGGAAGAGAGATGAAATGCTACACAAATTTGTAGAATGACTGTATTACCTCTCACAGTTGGGTATATAAGGGTAACACATGGAGAGGTCTCTCTTCCCCCAAAGCCAGAAGCAGTTTTGGTTCCACTGACACAGAACTGACTGACTGCTCCTATTGAGGTTCTGCCCCAAGCTGAACACGATTGGGAACATTTGGAGACTTCTGTCCAAGTCAAGACTTCCAGTTGCTGTCTGCGTGCTGGGTATCATGACTTGGCCACAAAGAAACTTGGTGTTCCTTCTCTTTTTCCCTGATTTTTGCATTGTTCCATTACTCTTGGGAGAGCTTCCTCTTTTATCAATGGAAATGTGCCATACGACCTGTGCCTCCGTTAGTGAGTGACCTTTCCAAAGTCATGAGAAGTTCATAGGGTGTTTAAAAAACTGATTTAGTTTCATTTTCCTATTTAAAAGCAGTGCCCATCCCTTTTCCACTTAGATCTCAAAACACCTCAAGTGAGACAGATCCCAACTAGAGGGTAGGGGGAATTCTCTGTGTCCTACTAAGAGGGAAAGAGAGAGTTTGCCATGAATATCAGAAGTGACTCACTCAAGATTATACAGTGAGTCAGAGGAAAATGTGAAGAAAATACTTATTTCCTTGAAAGAGAGATGTTTACTTTTACTGTTGGGTTTGACAATGCAATTAATAAGGACCTTACAGCATCAGATAATTCCCTTTTTGTTAAAAGGCAGTGTGAGTTCCTGAATGATAACTGTTGCTGGCTATATGTGAAACTTTAAAATGGAACTTGTTGGTCTCAAACCCTCTTCATCTGTGGCAATGGGAAACCAGGCTGCTGTCAAATAACATCTCCATTTCATAGCATCCATCCTTCACAGTGCCTTTTTTGACTGAGGAGCTGCGGTCCAGCACTAGCCTTCATTATTACTGCAATAATGGGACTCTGATAGGAGTGCATTTCACATCAGTGATTTACTGTCTCCATTACAGCATGACCCGAAAGCTGTAACTCTCCTGCCAGGGGCTGGGGTTTGGAAATGCTCCAGGGCCACAGCGCAGCTTCCAGGCCAGCTCAGGTTCTCTAATCCTGTGTGGTTTTCACTTGGTTTGATCATTTCCAGCTTGTGCAGAAAGTGTCGGGAATGCCTCATACAGAAATGGCCTTTGTTTTGTCAGCACTGATAAAGTTGCTGCTGCAACTGAAACACGCACTGAGCTGTTACAGGCTTCATAAATAATTTTTCTCTTGCTTGCACCATGGATAAAGCTATTTCTTTGGTGTCAGCAAATAAAAGCACCCTGTGTTTGCTGTGCAACACTATCGGTTGGTGCTGCTGGGTTAATGTTAATACCTTTGGTTTCTGGCACAGCGCTTTATACACACGAACAGCATCTTCTGCATGTTTCAGGGGGTGGCCAGTGAATTGACAGTCTAGACACAAAGTGTCTAAACAAAGCTATTCAGTACAAGCTATAATGTCTTGTAAATAACATAAAGTTACAAGGAAAAAGTTAGAATAGCCCCAGAAGGACCACATCACCTGATAGGACCATACAATGGGCAGCATCTGAAGGCTCTGGAAAGTAATCAGGTGGAGGCATGTCTGAAGGCATCTGACTTTGGGTCTGGGGTCCAAGCTGAAGGGTTCAGTGAGTCTCTTAGGATGCATCCAGAAGAGGGAGTGGCAGGATGGCTGGAGACCACCCCACAGCATCTCACCATATTCACTCCATCCCTGCAGGCCCCTAAGCCTATTAGCATGAAGGGAAGGGGACATGTGGAGAGGCATCCAGATACCACCTGTCCCTTACAGATCTGTGTGACTGGCACATGAGATTTGGATGCATGAAGAGCAGTTGGGGGTCATTCGTGCTTGGGTCCTGGGAAGCTCAGAACCCCATTCCTAGGGACCATTTGCCCTTTTGTTGCTCCCAGCACCCCTGTAACAAGTTCTCCATAAATGAGCATCTTTGTTGCACTGGTGCGAGTTTCCAGAAAGCAGTGTGCGTCAGCTCAGTTTTGAGTTATAGGCAAAATAAAGTTCCTGTTGTTTTATTATCTGTACCACTTACTTTAATAGGAATTACTGATCTTCAGACAGAGAAAATATAAACAGCCAGTAAGCAAAGAGTGGCTTGATTTTCATACTGGAGGATGTTCATCAGAAGACCTAGGTGATGTGTCAGACTTCATTTTCCCTTTGTCTGCTATTATCCCCCTTTTGGTTATAAAATAGTTGCTCCTGACAGGGAATTTTTAGCCCTGTGGCTTTGGTCTAGCGGGTGTATGTCATCCCAGATAGGTTCTCCCTATGACTATGTACTGTATATGATTCAAGCTAATTTATTTATTCTTTCAGGTTTTGTTTTTATACCACACCAGTCTTCAGGTGTCAGTATGTGCCAGGGTTTGCTCTTGCATTGAACTGCTCATCTAGGCAACAAACAAGAGAAAGTGCTTTATAATCTCAGCGGACTGTGACTTCTTGAAATCAATAGCTTCCTTTCAGCAGAGTTTAAACTGCTTTCTATTATGTGGAGCCTGACACAGTAACAGAGAGATGCTTAAGATGCTGATGCGGCTGATATTTGAGCAGCAGGTAATGTAACAAGATACCTTTCTAAGTACAAGGGACAAGAGAGCACATGGTGCTCTATTTTGAAGAGAAAATTTCTTGCTAAGGTTGACCCAAAAGCAATTAGTGGTTCATTTAACTGAATTGGTGAATTCACCTGTGCAGTCTATTAAAATATTATATAGAGATAATTTTGACTCAGCTGAGTACCGCTTGATTACCTTCTATCTACCCACTAGGTGGGTGCTTAATGTTAAGTGAAATAGCAGCACATCCTGGTAGTTCAGCTAGAAATACTGCCCTGTGTCAAACCTGGACTTCTCTCAATAGTGACACAGCTACTTTCTTTCCAGAATCATTAAGCTGTTGTATTTTTGAATGTAAATGGGCACATATAAACAGGTCATTGTCCTAAGGGCAAACAGCTGGATTTGTCACCATTTTCAAAGCAGAACTCAAATGCTGTCTTGTGTAAATTGTGTAAGAAATAGTCTTCAGTAAATTGAACTGAAAGGGCTTTGGTTGTGCTGCTGAGACTTTCCTTTGTTTAAAAGGCATCTTCTGTCACAACCAAAAACACTCCAGTATATCCTGCTTTTCTTCTCCCTGCCCTCTTTGTGCTGTTTTGGGCAGAGATTTCCCACTACTGGAAAAGAAAGAAGAGCTAGATGTCTGCAACATCCACTGAGAGCCTTGCTGTGGTAGGAAAGCACCCTTGCTATGCCTTATTTCTACTTTGAAGGGCATCACTGGAAATCTCCAAGGGAATTAATAACAGGATATTTACTACATACATTGTTGTGCATACCCACAAACTGTACTCCAAGTTCTGTTACATTTCCTTCCTAATGGAACATAATTCACAAGTAATGCCTTGATGCTGTCTGTATGTATTGAACACTGTGCAAGGTTAAGAATTTATTATAACTTTCTGTATTGATAGGCATTTAGAGTCCTATAAAGAAAGAATGTACAGATCAGCTAGAATAGAAAGCAAAGGTATTCATTATGTTTAACAAAAACAAGGTTTTGTAGGTTTATAAAGATTTGCAGTGGGAGCGTTTCCCTCTTCCTTCACAGATGGTCCTCTCCTCTCCCCCAAGTTCAGTGTGTTACACAGTCCAAGGCCACCTTTCCACATGGGGCATGACTATACCGGTATGGCACAGTACCGAGCTGGCTTGTATGGCTTTGTGCTGCAGTGCCTTATGTATGTGTGAATCATTCTAGGATCCTCACATGGAGAACTTTACATAAACAGAAAGCCTTTCTGTTTCATCTGTTAAAAACCTGCTCAGGGCTGTGTGACCAGACACATCTTCTTTCTGCCAAATCTGGCTGTTGTTTTTCTCGAGTCTTTTTCCAAGCAGTGCCACAAGAATATATAAAACCCAAATGGGTTTAGTGGAGCTGGACCTCACCAGCAGTGCAACAACCTTTTGTGCTATTAGACATGCTGTGGCCCTTCAAGCTACTCTATAGGTCTTTTACTGGTAAATAGATATGGAAAGCAGAGAAGGGAGAGAATAGATAAAAACTATATTTGCAATGTATTTGCTTCTACAAGTAGCTCATCAGATGCATGCTAACTAGGTCAACTTTGGTAAAAACCTGAACCAAACTCTTATTTGTTCATCTTGTACTAGAGTCTAGGCAGGAGCCACAACTCTGCATCTACAGGCAATGTAGTAAGGGCAAAAAGGCTTAAAAACCAGACAACTAATTACACTGATTAGTATTGCTATGTGCTACTTAACACATTTGTTACTTACACACAGATCCAGACACGTTTTTTTCCCTCTATGCAAATGATTTTGCTTGTTATAGAATAATGAATTTCAGCTTCTTGGGTACTCACTAATGGTGTCTTGTGTCATAAACACGCTTGGAAATAGATGGGGTTTATGTCTTTTCACCAAGGTGGAAAAGAGCTTCTTCAGTAGTAGCACATCATTTTCAATAGAAATAGTATTGTTTTTATCACTGTGTGGCATGTTTCTGTCACAGCCATGGGAAATACACCCTGAAATTAAAGCAAGTAATTGAGGATTAAAATCCTGTCTCTTTTTACTGTTAATGAAATAGCAAAGCATAAATAACAAGTAATTGATGTTCTGTGTATCTTCAGTGAACGGAAGCACACGAGACATGGGGCAACATCTGTGAGGTTCTTAGTATACTGTGTACTAGTTAAATACGTTCTTAAGTGTTTAAGTAATGTGGGTGGGCAGTTGCACAGTTACTGTGTGAATGTTCAGTATTAAGGATTTGTACACTGCAGTACAACCGTGCTAGAATGGGTTAGCCTGAATGGTCTCTGTCTTGTAATCATGGCCTTCATCTCAAGTCAGCAGGTTATGTCAACATGGAACAAGTGGTTAAAACCAGTTGGAGTTGGAAAAGGTCTATAAGTGGTATTTTTGGAAGTCTTTCATTACAGAAATGGTTTTGGGTAGGATGCCAGCAGAAGATTGCTGCATCAGATCCGAAAGCAATAACACTAATGTTGCTATTAGGTAATGGTAGTACTATATACTGTAATATTTTTATGACTTTGCAGTAGCTGATGTGCTAAAAATCAGAACAATGCAAAGTAGCTGCATTGTACGTTTCCCTTTTTTAAAGGATGCGATTGTCATCTTCTGTTGTTTTCCCCCCCCTCGTTGTTACAGGGAGGAAATTGAATTTCAGTCATGACAACAACGGCATATTTCATTATCTTATCATTACACTCTCCAGGGATGGGTTTTTAGCAGGCTCAAATACACAGGGAGGCAAAGTATAATGCCCTAACATCAGAGAGTATGTGTGCTGAGGCCCATGGGACAAGCATGGAAAGGAACATTTTCACAGTTACAGAAGTTGATCCATCTTGGTTTAGCACTGATCTGGTGCGAGCTGGTATGAATTTGCATGAGGTGACTTGCACAGCCATCACATGTGGAATGTTTTAAACAGAAATGCAGCTCTTCAGCAAGGTGCTTTGTTAGGGGCTTTTGGGTGGGTTTTTCTCTTTAATTCTTTCAGCATCTGTATCCATCATTTATTATTCATGGAGTTAGAGAAGAATGGTGCTGAAGCTGCTAAGGTAGCACAATCATATTGATGGGGTTTTGTTCCTGTCATTCAGCATTGTGAGTGGGAGGCTATGAGCATGGTTGCATGAAGTTCCAAAGAATGTATAAAAATGTGAATAAAAGGTGATCTCTGAACTGTCACTGGCAGTGGTTACGGTGTTCAAAGGGAAATGTGGTCTTCTGATTGTTCCTTAGATTGTAAGGATTACTCAAAATTGCAAAATATGCCATGAATATTTTATTGAAGTAGGAGACAGCGAATATTGTGGTCAGATAGGAGCCATGTCTGAGTGATATGGTCTACAAGTAGCATTCCAGTTCATGAACTCTGGATATGGTACAGCTTTTCTACTCTGGAAAGTGTGCATACACATGAGAGGTTTTTTACTTACTATCATAGAATCATAGAATGGTTTGGGCTGGAAAGAACCTTAAGGTTCCAACTCCCCTGTGATGGGCAGGGATGCCTCACACTAGACCATGTCTCCTAAGGCTGTGTCCATGAAGGAGATGATGCTAACTGTTTGGTCAAGCCCACTTGACTAGTACAATGATTTTAATGTGTTTAAGCTAGTCTCTAGCTGAGTCCTGAGCAAGTTTATGCTTTGTCAGAGGTGACAGCTGCTGCTCACTACCGGCTTGTGATGTGTGGCTGTAATATTGATACAGGCTCAGTAAGAGCTAGTAAGGAAAGCATGTTCTCAAACAAGAAGGAAAAGGGAGAATGGGAGGAACAGAAAATCTATGCTTGTACAGTGGATCACACAAGGATCTGATGCAAGTAACTTTCAGATTATCAATCTTCCTTGTGTGTCCTTACGTGTGTGTGTGCATGTCCCTTAGGTTTGTATGAACTTAAATGGTGTGTATTTACCTTTCTAACACGGTTGCAGAGATGGAAAAGGCGTAGTTTGTTGTGAAAACAGAGCAATTGTTTTAATCATGTCAAGATTTGTCCAGTTCCCACCAGTTTTCCTCCAGTTCATGTTTAACCTGTAAAACCCACCACCCCCCCCCTTCAAAAAAAAGGCATACTTGAAATTCCCACCTTGATTTGTAGCCTTGAAACTCCTCATGCGTATCTCTGATACTCTGTGCTCTTAGGAATAGCACTCACGTACGTATCATGGTAGTTTTTAGGGAGCCCAGGCAGCAGCTCAGACCTCATAGAACTGATCCTGGTTTGGTTAGAACTGAACACATCCGAAAGGTTAGTAAAGCATTTTCTAATAGTTCTGATTTAAGGTTTTGGGGTTTTTGTTGTAGCAAACCTCAAACCCAGATGTGCTTTGGTTCCCAGCACATCCCCAAACTCTTAAAATAAAACTTTTCTCCCACTTTCTCCTCACAGCTCTCGGCAGAACCCTGTCTGTCCCACCTCCTCCTTTCCTTTTATGACACAAACTTGTGATTTACAGCCAACTTCTTCTCCAGAAATGCCATTTTTCAAACCCTTACCACTGTTACTGACATAACAGGTTGCCTTTCAACAACCTGGGGCTGCTCCCTGTCCCTGGCATAACCATCTTGCTTTGCTCAGCTCAGTACGACTTCTCCCACTGACTTAAGGACCAGACCTAACTCCTGTCCCTACTGACCCAGGGAAAGGCAGTTTGAAGTGTCTCAGTGCCTCCAGAGCAGTAGCTCATGGTACAGCACAAACGTGATGCTGCCGTGTGTCCTTTTTGTTTGCTTCATGCTATCATACAAGAAAGGAAGGCAGATTCCTCACTGCTATGTAGATGTTATATTAGACACTGCAGGGAGCCTTTGAAGTGTTAATGCCCCTCAACACAGCCAGCTGGCAGCACCAGATTTGTCTCGGTTGTGACTCAGGCTGTCACAGCAGGTCCTGCGAGCAGGTTCTTGGGGAGTAAGGGCATGTGCTCTGTTTTACAGCCACCTCCTTGGGATCATTTTAACTGGTGGGTTGGGAAGTGAGAAAACTACTTGGAGGGCAGCTTGGAAGAACAGTGGTGGAGCCCTGTGCTCTGCTCATGGATGCACGGGGTGTAAAATGAGGCCTAGTTGTGGAGGTGCAGGAGCACACCCGCTGCTCCTCAGCCTGCAGCAGGGCTGGATGGTCACCTGCCACCTCTCAGCACTGCTGTGGAAGGAAGGAAGCTGGAGAGGGGCTGTTTCCACTTGGGCTGAAGGGATGTGTGGTCCCCTGGTGAAGGGACTTTTGTTGTCCTGGCAAGGAGACAGGAGAGGGATGGGAGTGAACAGGAGTGGTCCTGGCCCACCGAGAGGGGGCTACAGGGTAGCCAAGGTGAAGGAAGGGGCACCTCTTACAGCAGCAGCTTCAGCTGGGAGGAGAGACCCTGGCAATGACTGACTCTGCCTCCTCCTTCACCACCTCTTACTGGGGAAATGATTTTTTTCCCCAGCCTTTTGTTCTCTGATGACTCCTTCATGCCAGCCTTTCATTTTAATGATAGCATAGCAGCGAAACCGAGTCACGTCAAGGCCTGAAGGTTTCCAGCTTTAATCTGTAATGGAATGTAAAGAAACCTGGCAGGGTTTGACACATTCCCAGTCTCCTGAGAGAGGAACTTTGGAACTGAGCTCTGGGAATCAAGTGTTCAGACCAACCGTGCTTCCCAGAGCAATTAATTGTTTTGATTAATTTTATGTTCTTTTTTTTTCCTCCTTAATTTCCCATAGAAATTGGGAAGATTGACCAAGATATATATAAATACAACACCCCAGGATTCACTGGCTGCCTATCGAGAGTACAATTCAACCAGATTGCTCCGCTCAAAGCAGCTCTGAGACCTACCAACGTCTCCTCTCACGTCCACATCGAAGGAGAACTGGTGGAATCCAACTGCGGAGCATCTCCACTCACCATCCCACCAATGTCGGCCGCTACTGACCCGTGGCACTTAGACTCAGGTAAGCTGGGGTTCATGCCATATTACTTCAGTGGAGCAGTGCAGAGAAGACATACATCTTGCCTTCCTCTGTAAGAAAAACAAAACTGAGTGGATGTGATTGATAAATGACAGTAGGAGATGTAGGAAGTGCAAAGCTGGCATGACAGGGATTTTCCATCACTCCTAAATGCAGTTACAGGATATTTTCTTTGCCTTATTTTTAATATTCTGCTTTATTTTTCTTTTCCATAAGTCTGACACTGAGTGTTGAGTTTTGACCTAGCTGCTGTGATAGCACTTTCTCTGTAGTTTTGGGTATGTAGTCAGCAAAATGTTCCAAGTACAGCTAAATAAGGTACAGTAGCATTTGTTATGCTGCATTCCTAATATGTGAGTAGATTGTGGTTAGCTCCATACCAGAAAAGTGAATCTAATTTTAGGCGTAAATGTATTTATATTTATGCCTTTATAGTGCTGATTTGTTTTCTGAAATGTCTGCTTTCCTTAGGCCATGTGTAATGGGAAATCCCATTAGTCATAATGGCATTCATTCACCTCATGCTGAAAATGCTGCCAAGCCAAAACAATTTGCAGATCCCAGCAATCTCGGCCTGCTTTGTGACTGACAGTCTTTGAAAATACATGTTGTGTCTAACTGTAGAGGTTTGGGTTTTTTCTCTTGCTTCTTGAGTGCCAGGTAAATACTTCAAAAGCAAAAAATCTGTTCCCTTTGGATTTACAGGGTCAGGTTTACATTGACATCTCTCTTGTGTTTTGTCCTCGTTCTCATTTGTAGCCTTTGTTTGTAGAACAAGAATTGTAGAACCTTCCTGGCAAAGTTGATGTGTTTACAGGGGTATAAAATTAAAATGCTAGTGGAAGAACTGCGTCCATAATGATTCTGATACTGATTAGACTTTGCCTATTGTGTTTGGGGATTCATCCATCGGCCAGTTTCTATATGAGAGGGGACAGGTAGATATGTCTTTCTCAGAAGTACGTGCCATGCTTATACCTTTTGATTTTGGATTTTATTTTTTCTTGCAGTTTCAAGGAACTCCTTGAAGTATTTTCTTCAGTAGAGAAATAGGACAGATGTTTGTAAGGAGAGATAGGTATTCCAGGACTGAGGGTCCTAGACATTGAAACAAGCAGAGTTGCACTCTACAGCTTGTCATTCCCTCCCTGCTGCCATGCCATCGTAAGATTTCAATACATCTCTTCCTGTTTATAATATGAAATCTGGTACTTGAATTTTGTCATCACAATTAGTAGTCTCTTTCTTCTCTGAAATTATTAGGCCAGTTTGTACCTGAAGGTTACATTCTGTGCTCCTCTTTCTATAAAAGCACATTTCCTGAAGCCTCGCTGGCTCATGTCTTTAAAAAGTAGGCCATAAACTTCTTAAGGATGCACTGCTGCTATGAAACTTGTGCAGCTAATGGGTTTTGGTTGTTAATTTTGGTTGGTTTCTTTTCCCTACAATTATTTTGACTGCAGGCTAGTTATAGACCATGGTGGGATTTACTCAAGATAACTTGAAGTGTTCCTAATAGCTCCGGGTATTAAAACAAGGAGATCCTGTTTGTCCTTGCCAAGTCCTAACTGTGCTTGTCCTCGTGTTAGCTCAGTGTTGCCTTGAAAACTTGCTCAGTCGATTCAACTTTGTTGACCTGACAGATAACAAGCTGACACGTTTCCTTCTGGATTAATTGTAGTACTCGGTCATGGAGCCAGCATGGAGGGTATCAGAACATGCAGCATGCAGTTAGGCTGGCTCAGGCTGTCTGTTAACTTCCAACCTGACAAAAAATCTCACTGTACACTGTGTAACCTTGCGCACAGATGATCTTGGTGACAGGTAAAGGCACGTATTTGGGTTTAGTGTCACTTTGCATTAGCCCATTGGCGGTTTTCACTGAAGACTCTTTTTTGTGACGTTTCCCAAATTCCCAAAGAAGACTTTCTGACACACATTGTGTTGAAAGAGAAAATGGGAAAATCAGAGGTGTAAGTAACGGTTCCCATTGGCTCCAGAGCTGGAATCATCTTGGTACTCTCAGTGTGAATTTACTCCTTCGCTAAACCAGCTGAAGGGGTGAAGACAAAAAGCTTTATTGAAATGCACAGAAACCCTTGTAGAGGTGCTAAAGCAAAAACCACACACACCTGGCCACAAAGAAATGGTGGCAAAGAACAGCAGTTACTGTGTACCGGGTTTCTAATTCCAAACATGTTTTAATCTGTAGTTCTTATTGTTCTGTCACTTACTTAATTTTAAGTTGAGGATGGCTGGCTTCAAGTAAAAAAAATCAGGAAAAATTTTGTTGCAAGCATCATACAGTTTACATCTCATTCAGTGACATGCTCAGCACTCATCCTCATTCATGGTTTAAGTGTACATTTGTAGCTTTGCTCTCAAATACTGTGGAATTGAATGTTGAGGATTGACAAATGTTGTAGGAGGGGGTCAAGTATAAGTGTCTAAACAGGACAGATACACCAAACAGCAGATGTAATGATCCTTGCACCTCTAAACTGCAGCTCTGGGTCAGACCTCACAAGTAATTACCAGACGTTAAGCAGATTCTGCCTGACAGGTAACCTACGTGAAATGTCTGCCTTAAACACTTCTGTGTAGTTGCTGTGTGGACATTACTGGCTGCAGAACATTTTGGATGCCCTAGCAGAGAGGCTAAAGGGAAAATGATAAAGACACACATCAGTCACTTGCAGTTGACCCTTAGAGACAACTCAGGGATTTATCAACAAGAAACCTTGTGGATTTGCTCCCTGGACAAATGGGCCAGACAGCTTCTTGATTCCTTGTCTTGCACTTTCTGTTAGCCTTGAGTACACGTGTTTCACATTTACAATTTTAGTTCTTTTTAAATGTCTTTTGTCATTGGAAAAATGCCACTTCCCTCCCTCCCCACCCCTGGCTGGCATATTGCCATGCTACTGGGCCATTATCTTAAACCATGATCTTGTTCAGCTTGTGAGTATTCTTATAATGCAGAGTCTTTTCCTGTTGCTATGGTAATCCTTTCTTGGTGGTGATAAAGCAGGGATTCAACAAGTCATTCTTTTCTAGAATATGACTCTGGTGATTTAAAACAAAAGTCAGTAATCAAACCCAAGCAGATCATCAATACAGTTCTCTTCCTGTGTTTTCCTCCTGTCTGTATTATCTCAGTTCACGTCAGACAACCAAATTTGCCTTGGTTAAAGCAAAAGGAATGTAGAAAGGACACAAAAAAGAGCCTGATCAATGACCATAGTATTTAAAAATTCCATGTCCTACCTTTATATGTTGTCTAAACCCAGCAAATTACCTGTCTGGCATACATTTCATGACGAAAGTTATAATTGCATGCCTTTAGCTATATTAGTGTGCATTTTCATATATATTACTGTAGCACATGCACAAGCCAAAAAGCTAATCAAGATTTTTTTAATATCTCTCAGTTCAAATGAGCTAAGATGGATGTCACTGGTAATTGACACCTTGCTCATTGTAGAAAAGCAAACAATAGCCCAAACAGATGATTAAGTCTGTAGCAAATAAACCTCCCCACCTAACTTGCCTTGTATTTAAAACCAGAAGATGTGTATTATTGAGGTGGGGTTGTTTGGTTTGTGGGTGGTTTTATTACTAATAAATATTCACTTCCAAACTTTTTGTTACTCATATAAAAAGAATAAAAGAAACCTACTGCATTGTATGTAGCTCTCCATCTGAAGTAAAATGTGCTCCAGCTTGCCAAACTACCTGATTCTGAACTTAGGAGGAATCAGGAGATATCAGAAGAGGCAGGGTAAATACAACAGTGGAGAAACCATGCTTTTGCACTTTTAAGCTTTCGTGGCACTGTGTAGCTGCAAGATGCATTTATTCAGAGTATGAACAGAACAGCATCTAGAGTATTTAACGCAGGATTTAGTTAAACCCATATTAGCTTCCACGTATTAAGAATTAAATGGAGCGGGATTAAATGCTACATCTGCAGTGTTCTTCCAAGCGGTGTGACTTTTTTCTGACTGTATGTATTTAAACCCAAAAAGCTCTTTTTGTAGAAGGTGAAAGGCCTTGTCTTTTAAGAATCAACAGCTTCCTTTGAAAGCTGTATTGAGCATGTCTGGCAAAAATATTGTATGAAGACATGCACCACTGTCAAGGTTAAAATTGCTGCCTGCAGGATTAACTCCGTTTTTATTACTAATTCATCCCCCTTCCTTTAACAAGTGATGGCAGGAGAGGAAAGCAGGTGAACTGAATACTGCCTATATGATCCATGCTTATCTAATTGACCAACTAACTGTCTTTCCCAAGCTAAAGATAGCACTTGATTTCTGGACCAAGACAAAGTGTCACCCGTGTGTTAGTGGTGACAGGGCTGAAGGTCACCTTTCAGATTCAGACGTGACTGTTGGATTGCCATCCTACTCTCTAACCACTGATGCTGACATCCCAGAGGGCAGAGAGTGGCAGTATCAGAGGAGAAGCTGTGTCAGATGTGCGCTGGTATGGATGTGGCTGCAGAGACAGATGGAAATAGCTCTTGACCTTGTCAAGGGCTTGTTACAAACAGTGCAGTGGGAAGGAAGGATCAAAGGCATTACTTGCTGGAGGGCAGGGATTCAGCCCTCAAAGTGGTCTTGGGTTACACACAGAGGAACAGAACAGTCTTCTCCAGACACTGAAAGCGTCCTGTATGCATCAGTGAATCCAACAGCAGGAGGGATACAGTCAATGGTAATGGGTGATGCAGCACTCATTGTCTCCTCTAAGGGACTGCAGGGGAGCAGGGTCACTTCTCCAGGCTTGCCAGCAGGGGCAAGTGCATCCGGGCAGGAGAGAGGAAGGAGGTGTATTGCTTTTGTTCATGGTGCAGCCTTACACATCCAAATTTGATCTCCTAGCTTTTGGCTAAATTAGAACTGGATGTGAAGGTAGTTGCTGGAATAAAATGATGCTCCTCCTTGTTCAGAATTGCAGGAAGGATTAGTTATCTCTCC